GAGATGGGGTTTTGACATGTAGGCCAGGCTGGTCTTGAACCCCTGGCCTCAAGCAATCTGCCTGCCTTGGTCTCCCAAAGCATGGGGATTACAGGTGTGAGCCACCACACCTGGCCACGTTCATCTATTTTTGAAGGGTGGCATTCAGAGGTCCAGTTCTCTTGAAATGTGACAGTGAAAAGTTCATCTCGGGAATTTTAACCATATTGCCCTTTACTAGGTCAAAGTACCTCTTTCTCACTTTCAGGTTTTAATTAAAACTCAATCAATTCTCATGATTTACAAAAAGTACTTTCTGAATTCACTCATAATACTGAAGAAAAAAGGGAATTGCAGCGACAGGGAAAATAATGTCCTAAAACTCTCACTGATCATCCTCAGTTTCACATTTATCTTGACAGTTTCAATGTGGGTAATAGACCAAATTTGGAGAGACTAGGGCAGCCACATTCCAACGAATATGTTGACTTTTTTTCTTCCTGCGAATTTGTTCAGTTGGTGGTTGCTTCAGCAGTGAGAAATAGGTTTAAAAGCTATAACAATAGGTGTGAAATAAATTTCTAATCAGCTCTACTAAGACCAGGAAAGGTTATGTTAGATGTCAGGTATGCTGGCTCTTAATGCTGCATATAAGATTGTTGATTTAACCCCATTCCAGTTCACTCTGGGAACCTACTAAAAAATTACCCAGACAACTGGTTCAGTCAGAACCTTGAATTCTTTTTCATTGGATGTATACTGATTGAGTCCAGATACATTTTTTTTTTTAAGCTTAAAACCAGCCAAGCTAGACCACCACTTGACACACTCAGTATCTAACAAAACTCATGGCCAAGGCCAGCTAACATCAGTTATGGAAACAGCACCCATATTTGGAAGAAACAGCCACAACACAGTCAGCGGATATATCAATAGATATGGGGATAGCCACCTCTATTCTAGGAAATTTCATATTAAAACTGGAAAATTCAGTTAAGTCTTTTTCCTCCTATGTTAGAAAACAATTCCCCTCCCCAGAATTATCTTGTTAGTAAGGATTTCACAGCAAACCCACAATCATAGTGATGAGTTTCTCCACCAGTCGGGATTTCATACCTGCAGCAATTTATTGCCATACACAGGCTCTTGATACACTACTCTATAAGGAAACAGAAATGTAATGTTTTCAATGCAAAAATGAAATAAATAAAAGAGAATGCATAAGTCAGACAAATTCCAGAGCAATTCATTTACAAGTTTGCTTCTCTCTTACTTCACCAAGACTTAGGACTGACCTACCAAGCTGAAAGAGGCACTGGGCCTGGATAAACATTTTTAATTGCAAATCTTTGCAGTGGAGAGTATCAAGGTGGAGATGGGGATCAAACCACTTTGTGTTACAACTTGTGTTTATTTCTAAAGAAGAAAAAGATAATTTCATGGCTTCTTGCCTCTTAAAGCATATTCTAACAGTCCAAATTAACTTTCAAATTTATCTCTTTAAGTCATGATTGGAATTTTCTGGAATATCTAAGGATTTAACATGAATGTCCTAATTATTGTAGTTAAAACAGCACAGTAGCAACCGTAACTGCATAAACCTTTAGTTGTTAATTTCAACTAACAACAAAATTGCAGTTCATGAATTCATGAATTACATTGAAGCTACGATAGCTACTTGTAATAATTTCAGACTAGAGAACTGAGAGTAGATGTGAGTGTGTGTATGTGTGTAAACTAGTGTTAATATACATAGCTTCAAAATGCTATGATTTCATGCAAATCTAGCACTGGCAAGGAAGGTCTCTTGCACAGACTAGGATGTCTTATACAGACTAGGATGAAGTTTTTCGAGGTAAGAGTTATTCATGGGCAAGACTAATCTTCCGTGTGAGCGGTCACAGTTTGAAATATAATTCTCCAGTTCCAGGGCAGACACTGAGATGGCTGAACATTTGAAGAGACTGAGGGACATACTCTCTAAAGGCGTGTGTATACTTTTTCCTATATAGCCTCTATATAGCCTGTCTTTCCTTTCCAGTTTAAATTTACTTATGTTAAAAGTCAAAGTTTGTGGAGCTATGCCTGACAACATTCTTCTTCTCTTTCTCTGCTAGTTCACTGCTTATTTGAATATTTCTAGTACAAATATTATTCTCAGTGGCCTGCCCACCCCATTATGCTCACTTCTCTTCCTCTTCCTTTCCTGTCTTGCACTGTAGTTTTCAAATTTTGCTCAACTGGAGCAATAACTTGGATTTGTGGGCTCAGGGCTTAAGCATTAAACACAGTAGTCAAATCATGTGGGCTCAAGGCTCAGTGTC